CTGGCTTGGGCAACCTGCAATGGAGAACAGCCGGAGGAGAGCACCTATCTCGGGAACCAGTCATGATTGCAAGAACAATCATGAATCGTGATGTCAAGATGACAAGATTTCTTTCCTCCATCACAGGCATTCACAATTTTTTTTTAATTCCCATGATCAGGAATTTTTTTTTAACAATATTAACCCTTACACTGCTCCAATTGTTAGAGAGCGATTAGCCTCTATACTCAAACCGCCTTGAGATGATTTAAGGTGGCTCATTTTATTTTAATTAATGTCCCACCCGTTCTAGAGAGATGTCATCTGACACTAGAAACCTCTCGCGATCAATTACCATATTTGGAAAAAATCCGAGTCCCTTAGTTTTCTTCCAGCGCCACAGTAAAAAGATGTGGACCATATCTTACACATCACCATCCAGTGTCAATGTGCAAGGTGAACATGTTAGGAATCATTGAATTTTTAACACAGCAAAGATTTCCATGTATATACAGTGGTACCTCGCATAACGATCGCCCCGAAAGACGAACATTTTGGGTAACGAACGGCCCGATCAGCGTCAAATCGTCCCGTATGGCGAACGCTGGTTTGAGTAACGTCAACACCACATGGTGGGGTCGCGCTGCTTCTTGCACATTCTTAGACGCCTCCGACGATGCACATAAATTATGTTGTTCTTGTTTAAAGATGCTAATGATGCTGGGATATAAAGGGGTGACTGCTGAGATGTTGTAAAGCATTGATGTTTTTGTAGGAAAAAAGAAATGAAATGTCTGATATGCAACAAATGTCAAAAAGGTTCGTTTGGTGTTCAGCAGGTAGGCTGCTCCATTATAACAATCTTTCTTTGTTTCAAATTTTATTTATTTATTTTATTTATTTATATACAAGAAGGTACATTGGGTTTGTGAGAATACATAGAACAGTAAAGCCACTAGTACGCTTTACAAGAGTGTAAATACTGTAAATGTGTGTAAGAGTGTAAATGTGTTCCATTTGTTTTGTATTTGTCATTTACGTCTCAATAATGGAGAAGCCTACCTTACATACACTCAACAAACCATTATGACATTTTCCTTTCTTCAAATGTGTTCAATATTTATTTTTCATTTGTCTTATAGCAAAAGGTTCGTTCGGTGGTCTACAGGTCGGCTGCTCCATGTTTCTTAAATAAAAAAAATAAAAAACGAAAAATAAAAGAACTGTTGAAACAATTTGAAAAATGGACAAATGCCATAAAGGTTCGTTCAGTGTTTGTCGGGTAGGCTGCTCTATTATTGAGACGTAAGTGACAAATACAAAACAAATGGAACACATTTGAAACAAAGAAAGATTGTCATAATGGAGCAGCCTACCCAACAAACACTGAACGAACCTTTTGCTATAACGAATATGAAAGACAAGGGCTGCTGGCTGGGTTAGTACTGCGTGAGCAACCATTTGTGGCACACGTGCCTCTGGCTCTCAAACACCTGTCCGACACGGTGTTGAAAGACTGCGCTCAGTTGGTGCAATTCAGACCCTATTGTTTGAAGAACATAAGGGTCATAACATTGGTGAAGCTAGGTGCAATAAAGGCTTAACACAACGGTCGGATGCCAGTGATACAGCACCTATGAGGATGATACAGCGAGCGTATCCAGTTGTAGCTCTGAGCCCCACCCTTGCCATCTCCAATTTATATAGATGGTACATAGATGAATCGTTTTCTGCGTTCAGTGATGATGCATCTGATACAAGTAGCATAGATAAACAGTGTTAGCGGCTTCCATGGTGGTGTTGTCCATAGATATTTTCAAGAATACCTGAATCTCTTCCTGACTGATGGACACTCTTTGAGGCTAGCTGAATCTCTTCCTGTGTGGGACCTTACAAACCGATCTTTTCAAGACTACCTTACAAATTGAGTTTTCCTACAATCGTTTCAATACTACCTTACGCTTTACAAGCTTGGCTACATACCACCTATAAGTACTAAAGCCAAGGGTGCATGCGAGTGCGTTATTTGCATGCACACAGAACGATGAAACAGGAAACGAAAATCTATCTGTAGCTGGTGCATGGAGAGCAAACTCGCACTGTGTACCATGGACTACTTCGTTGACTATTACGCATCTCCAAAGTACTGAGTGTGTAATACAGTGTGTTACTGTGTAAATAGTATGTGAAACTGTACATATTGTAATTTTAGTGAATTTTTACCACGTAATATTGTGACAATAAACATTTATTGTGGACACATTACTGACACATGTATCACAGTTCCAAGGAAAATTATGAACATTCTACTGTATACATATTGTAAAGGTCACAAATATGCATCATATACGATAAAAGAAACAAATAAAATCGCATTGGAAATACATAGAAAAAATATTTGAAAATATATGTGTGGCAACACGCGGTGCTTGAATGGCCTGCGCAACCGTGTCTGGGAGCTTCACACACGGGCGACCAGGCCCTGATGACGTCACAGCATACCTTGCCCACACCCTCACAGCCAAAGTAAGTGGAATTTGGTAATTATTTTTACATAGACATGTTCAGGGAAGGTAATTTATCATTTTACAAAGAAAAATTATATTTTGGGGAACATTTGATGTCATGCACACTGGGGGAATTTCACAATAAACACAGTGCATCACACTGGTTACATCTTCTTGAGATCTTGAGATGATTTCGGGGCTTTTTTTTTTTTTAGTGTCCCCGTGGCCCGGTCCTCAACCAGGCCTCCACCCCCAGGAAGCAGCCCGTGACAGCTGACTAACTCCCAGGTACCTATTTACTGCTAGGTAACAGGGGCATTCAGGGTGAAAGAAACTTTGCCCATTTGTTTCTGCCTCGTGCGGGAATCGAACCCGCACCACAGAATTACGAATCCTGCGCGCTATCCACCAGGCTACGAGGCCCCCATGGGGGGACACTCGTTTTGTATGACATCCGTTTTACATGATGAACATGGAACGGATTAAATTCGTTACTCGAGGTACCACTGTATTTGTAAGCACAATGTGTGCAATGGGGGATGATAAGATTTAGGCTTATATATACATATTAATATGTATAAATACAGTGTGCATATATTTATAAACATATCTGTACATACATATATATTCCAAAGTTGTACCTAATGCATACCAATTTTGACACATCAATACAACATGTGAGCATGGAAATAAAATAAAGTGAGAAAATGAAGTTACAGTATTTCCATGTGGCAATTTTTTTTTTTTCCTTGCACACCAGGGAGTTATCACAGAAATCAAGTGCACAGCCAAAGGGTTAAAGGATGAGGTTAGGTTATTTAGGTTACTAAATATGTGGTTTGGATGTTATGAGCTTTTCATGATAGCTATGATAATTAATCTTCTTCTTCATGGTATGTGGACAACCCATCCTCCGAATTGATAGTACGATTTAATACTAAGTGTAATAAATACACTTTCTTACTGTCATAAACAGTGCATAATTACACTTATGGGGCTGTTACATTTACCCAACTCCCTCCCCCATTTTAATTCTTCTCGTTTTCTGTTAAGACACTCAGAATTTTAGGATGAAGTTTTCAATTTCAAATTGCAATACACAAGTTTTAAATATCAGGAATTTCTTTTTCAGGTTTATTAAACAATATAGATTTTATACAAAATTTTAAAATATCCTGAGTTACTTTACAATATATTTATACATTTTAGTTTTGTTTTATTAGTTTTATAAAACTGTAATATCAATATAGCTATAGGTTAAGTACTAATTGTAATTAAGAAGCAATAAAATTATTATCTTCAAAAACTAAGACGGTTAGGTGAGGTTGTGGTTTTCTATTCAGTTTTTCAGGTAAACTCAAATAGTCACAATATATTTGACAGTACGATTTAATACTAAGTGAAAATAAGTACAATTCCTAACTGCTATGAATAGTACATAATTGCACTTATTTGTCTTCTTACATTTACCACCCCATTTTTGGAGGACGGGCTGATGTGGAGCCTGCATAGTACCTTTCTCCTACCAATGACTGCACGCATAGTAATAATGGGAAGACTTGTCACAGTGGCACGTCAATGCTTATAACTTAGCAAGGTTTGAATGCTGTTAGTAGTTGTTGACAGTTGACTCAATGGCGATAATAAAACTAGACATTTTAAAGTTGGATTTGATGCCTAGTGGTGAGGGTTGGATGCTGTGTTGATAGTATCATTGCTGTTCTTTGTAGCTTGGATTATATTTTCTATGTAAGATTGTGTGGGTGGTTTGAATTATATGAATAAGTTAGATATGGCCTCATTTTTTGGTTGAAGATATTCAGCCAGGTGCTTTGATTACTTGACATTTTATATGTAGTAAGAGGTCTCCTCTTACTACATATGTGTTCGATATTAAAAGGTATTTTGAGGGTGATAAGTACTTGTTTAAAATTAATTTTTGTACTATGAAGTCCAAAACAGTGAAGGAAGCAATGTTCAATTGTCTATGGAACATAGTAGTGAATGCAAAGTTCATTTATATCTATCCTGTATTTATATCCATGTGCTGCAAGTTTGGTGTGTCCCAGCTTTAATCTTGTCATCATTACATCTATTTCTCTGTTATATTCTAATTAATTAATCACTTGTATTTCTCATCATCATTTATTATTGTGTTAAAATTTGATCAGATAGCAAACAAAAGTTATTTAATCAGTTCCCAAAGCAATTTTAATTAGCATATTACTATTCCCTTAAAAATGATGAGCTTGCATTAAAAATGTGACAACAATTTACTTCAACAGTAGCTATCTCCTCCATGTCCAGCCTCCTTCACCAAGCCAATTTTATGCATTTTACTTCTATGAATAAATTTTTCTGTAATGCAACCCATACACCCATTAAAAAGCATGTGATCAATAACAAAAATTACACTTTTTAATTAGATATAATAGTTAAATATAGTATAAGCTGCAGAGTTGAGTTCTAAACCATGAACATTTTAGTTAAAGCTTGAGATACTAATAATAATACCTGATCTTTCCTGAGGAGATCGACATAGAAGTCAATATTGCGTTCATGTGAGGCCATCTCAGGATATAAAGTTCCAAGCTTGAGGAAGACCTCTACACTGCACGTACCAAGCACATGTTGATATTGATGAAGAAGTGTCTGTGGAACAACAAAATATTAACACCTTACTAATCAAATCAATTCAGATTTTATACACAAAAATTTGAAAATGGTTACTAGGTGATAGTTCACATAGAGGAGGTAAATAAAGAGCTAGAAAAGTGCAGAGAGGAAATTAAAGATATATATGAGCAAGTTGTAAAAGAGAGACGATCAAGGAAGTGTGTTTGAAAGTCAAAACCAAAAATAACCAATAAGAAGCAGAAATTAGACAAGCTATTGGAAATAACTGGTTGCCAAAAGTAAATTAGTACAAAACACTGCAGATAGAAGTAAGTCAATAATAATTTTCGGGTGTCTAGAAAAGGAAATATCATCTAGGGTCAACAGAGCAGCAGAAGAGATGAAAATAAAAAAGAAAATAGTAGGTTTAGGAGAAGATCTCAATTCAAAGGAAAATGTCAGTGATTTTAGAAGGATAGGAAAATACGAGAAAGACAAGAACCGTCCCTTAACCACTGGACTGCGCCGACCGAGAAACTTGTTTCGTTGGAAACTGCGCGAGCCAAGAAAACACCATTTTAATATTTTGTATCCATTCAAAATGCGCACATGGTTGGTTGGGCACGAAATGGACTCTTGGGACATCCCGTGAGAGGCAGCCCTCTTGGAAAAAATTCCCAGAATACCCTACGACTGCTGGCTGGCTTAGTTCCAAGTGAGCAACCATGGGTGGCGCACGTGCCTCTGGCTCCCAAACACCTTTCCGATGCGGCGTTGAAAGATCGCTCTCTGTCGGTGAAATTCAGAAATTATTATTTGAAGAACATAAGGGTCATGATATTAATGAAGCTAGGCACAATAAAGACCTAACACAAGGGTCGGATGCAAATGATACAGCACTGATGAGGACGATACAGCGAGGGCATCCAGTAGTAGCTGAGCGTCACCCATGCTCACCCATATTATCTCCAATTTTTATAGATGATACATAGATAAATCGTTTTTTGGGTTCAGTGATGATGCATCTCATAAACGTAGTATAGATGAACAGTGATAGCGGCTTCCATTATGGCATTTTCCATCGATCTTTTCAAGAATAGCTTAATCTCTTCCAGAAAACCTTACAAAGTGATCCTTTCAAGACTACCTTACAAACTGATCTCTTCCTATAATCTTTTCAAGACTACCTTACACTTCACAAGCTTGGCTACACACCGCCTACAGGTACTAAAGCCAAGGGAGTACGTGAGTGCATTATTTGCAAGCACACAGGACAAAGAAACAGGAAGCAAAAATCTGTTTGTACCTGGTGCATCGAGAGCAAAGTCATGCTGTGTACTATGGACTGTTTCTTTGATTATCACTCACTTCCGAAGTACTGAGTGTAATTAGCTAAGTGTAATTACCTAAATGTAGTTACAGGATGAGAGCTACGCTCGTGGTGTCCCGTCTTCCCAGCACTCTTTGTCATATAACACTTTGAAACTACTGATGGTCTTGGTCTCCACCACCTCCTCACCTAACTTGTTCCAACCGTCTACCACTCTGTTTGCGAAAGTGAATTTTCTTATATTTCTTCGGCAACTGTGTTTAGCTAGTTTAAATCTAAGACCTCTTGTTCTTAAAGTTCCAGGTCTCAGGAAATCTTCCCTATCGATTTTATCAATTCCTGTTACTATTTTGTACGTAGTGACCATATCACCTCTTTATCTTCTGTCTTCTAGTTCTGGCATATTTAATGCCTCTAACCTCTCCTCATAGCTCTTGCCCTTCAGTTCTGGGAGCCACTTAGTTGCATGTCTTTGCACCTTTTCCAGTTTTTGATGTGCTTCTTAAGATATGGGCAACACACAACCGCTGTATATTCTAGCTTTGGCCTAACAAAAGTCGTGAACAATTTCTTTTGTATATCGCCATCCATGTATTTAAAAGCAATTCTGAAGTTAGAAAGCATGGCATAGGCTCCTCGCACAACATTCTTTATGTGGTCCTCAGGAGACAGTTTTCTATCTAGAACCACCCCTAGATCTCTTTCTAGATCGGTCCTCGACCAGGCATCCACCCCCAGGAAGCAGCCCGTGACAGCTGACTAACACCCAGGTACCTATTTTACTGCTAGGTAACAGGGGCATAGGGTGAAAGAAACTCTGCCCATTGTTTCTCGCCGGCGCCCGGGATCGAACCCGGGACCACAGGATCACGCGTCCAGTGTTCTGTCCGCTCTGCCACCGGCTCCCTTGAATGGCCTTGAGGCTTGAATGGCCCGTGCGACTCCTTTTGGGAGCTTCACGCACGGGCGACCAGCCCATGATGACATCACAAACCATTTTGGCACTGTCTCTTCAGCTAAAGAAAGTGGAATTTGATTTTTTTTTTACATGTACAGTACATGTTCAGAGAAGGAAATTTATAAATTTACACATTATTATTTTTTTTAAGAACACTTGATTTTTGGCGCACAGGAAGAATTTCATGATAAACGCAGCACATCACGGAGGTCAAGGGTGACACTTAATAGAGTGAAACAAATGATGAAAGTGCTTGGAAATGCTAGGAAATTACAGAGTGATGAGGATGGCAAACTTTGGTCAATAAGATAAGACCTCTCAAAGGAATTCAGAGAAAAGCTGCAAATGAAACTTGATTAAGTGAAACATCTAAATGGGAATACAAATACAAATGAGGAAGAAAGAAATTCTTTTTTCTACAATGTGTTAGGGACTGGAAAGCTAGTGAAATGGTACATAAAAACAAAGCAACAAAATCATTAGAGGAAGAGGGGGTAAAAGACAAAGGGAACATGTTTCTGAAAATTGTATATACCAATATAGATGGAGTGAGATAAAAAATACTGGAGCTAAAAGATATAATTCAGTTTAAGGTTCCAGTTATACAGAGGAAGGGGACTTCCTTTCCAAACACTAACATCTCTCCTCCTTCCCCCCTCCTCACCATCTTCCATATGCCAACAAGTCTCGGGTGATGAGCGGCTCCATCTACTAACATTTCAGGTAACGAGCGAGCCACTCACAGAAAATTTGTCTCGACTGACGAGCTACCGCTTGGTTCATGAGAAAACCATGTGGTGCTTCTTAGCGTTCCCACTGGTTCTCGTAAATTCTCGGACGCCTCCGACAATGCAAATCAATGAAATTTTGTTTACAAGATGCTAATGATGCTAGGATGTAAAGGGATGACTGCTGTAACGTTGCAAAGCATTGATTTTTTTTAGAAAAATTATATAAAAATTTAAAAAAATTAAAAAAAAAGAAAAATGTCAAAAGGTTCGTTCAGTGTATGTCAGGTAGGTTGCTCCATTTTCTATAAACAAATAAAAAATGAAAAAATATAAAAAAAATTGAAAAAATTTGAAAAAAAAAGTAAAAAATGTTCGTTCAGAATATGTCAGGTAGGCTGCTCTATTTTCTATGAAAAAATAAAAACAATTGAATATCATATTGATGTTTTTCGGTGGTGGAACGGATTAATTTTACTGTATTTCCATTATTTTAAATGAGGAAATTTGTTTCACAAGATGAGCGTTTCACATGACGAGCTCGGTGCCGGAACGGACTTAAATTCATTAACCAAGGCTCCTCAGTATTTGAGGAAAAGACAAGAAAATGGGTTCAATATCAGAAGAGGCCTAACCCACAAATATACCAGCACTACAAGTAAGCAAGAAACAATTACACAACAGTGAGGAGAGAGGCAATAAGACACTGAGAAAAGTATAACAGACAAATGTAAAACTAACCTCTAGCCTTTTCTATAAATTCATTAAAAGCAAGCTGCATGTAAAGGATAAAATCCAGCGGTTGAGAACGGGAAACAGGACTACTGAGAATGAAAGAAAAATGTGTGTAATGCTAAATGAACAGTTCCAAAGGGTGTTTGTACAAAATGAGGATGTCAGAGACCCGGACCCAATATCAATTTCAGAACATACCATAGAATACATAGAGGTATCTTAAGATGAAGTGGAAAAATTACTCATGGGGTTAGGAAGAAATAAGGCGGTTGGACCTGATGGAGTTTCACCTTGGGTGCTTGCACAGGAATCTTAGCAGATACTGTATATGGAAAATGGCAAACATAGTACCAATCTATAAAAATGGTAGTCGAGAGGAACCTCTAAATTATAGACCCGTATCATTAACAAATGTGGTAGTCAAAACACTAGAAAAATAGTTAAAGCCAAATGGGTTGAACACCTAGAGAGTAATGACATAACAACAGACAAACAGTATGGTTTTTGAACAGGAAGATCCTGTGTAACAACTCTACTAAGTTTTTATGATAGAGCCACAGAGATACTACAGGAAAGAAGTGGTTGGGTTGACTATCTCTCTCTTGAACTAAAAAGTCTTTGACACAAGTTCCACATGAGAGGATGTTCTGAAAACTGAAACATGCTGGAGGAGTGACAGGGAGACTTTTGACATGGATAAAAAATTTCTAACTGACAGTCAGATGAGGGCGGCAATCAGAGAGAATATATCTGACTGGGTGAGTGTCAGTTCTTGCACCAGTAATGTTCATTGTTTACATAAATGATCTACCAGAAGGAATACAGAATTATTTGAACATGTTTGCAAATGATACTAAGATACTGGGGAAGACAGAAGTTGCAGACGATTGTCATGCCCCTCAAAATGATGCAGATATAATAAGTGCTTGGAGCAACATGTGGCAAATGGAATTCAATGTAATTAAATGCCATGTTATGGAATGTGGAATTGGAGAATATAGACCACACACAACTTACAAATTAGGTGGAAAGGAATTAAAGAACTCTAATAAAGAATGAGATCTAGAGGTGGTTTTGGATAGTAAACTGTCACCAGATTTTGCCCACTAAAGCTAGTCTCTTCTGGTGCTCCGGGAAACAACATAACTTCCTCCACTCGTCGTTTGCTCACTACTGCGCCGTGTGCAGGTGGTCGTGTTGAGTGCAAAAATCGCAGGTCCCCCTTAATTATTTTGTATTAACGTCAATTTGCTTATATGTTCATTTTTGTTTTCTCGTATAACTGCCAAGTGTATGTCAGACAAGGTTTCAGGTATTTTTTCATGTTTATTAATGTTTAAGATTATAGTGAATTTGTTAATTGTTCATTTGCTTATTTTTTTATCTCCTGTGCAACTTTTCACACTGCAAGGGCCAAAGCAGCACTTTTTTTTCTTTGATTTCTTTTTCTTTGAGAGTGAGAGCCACATTACATTTCTCCAGTATAGCTCTGATAATGTTTCACGTCACAATATTCTCCAGTGCTCCCTAGTACCATTACAACCCTGCGGGAATAACTGGGAAAGTTGCCTTTGCCACGGGAACCAGAATGTTGCCCTGCCTGACTGCATACTGAGACAGTGGAACCTTATTTTGTGTAGAAGATGAATGTAGTAGTTCAGGTATATTATAGTAATACAGTGGCACCTCGACATACGATTGCCCCTACTTACGATAATTTCGAGTTACGATGTAAATTTCATTGAAAAATGGGACTCGACATCCGATATTTGTTGGTACACGTTCGGGTCGACTGAGCACATGGTTCCCGGTCACGCGGCCGACCTACCTCAGTTTACTACAGCTGCACGCTTAGTGACGATCACGCCTATAAAAAATTCCGCTTTTGTGGTGATTTTTTGCATTTTGAACATTAAAGTAAGTATTATATATCATGCCATGAGTCCCAGGAAAGTCAGTGGTAAGGCTTAACATATGAAAACCCATGTAAGGATGACCATAGAGCAGAAACAAGAGTACAGAATGTCTCTTCCTCAACAATTAAGAAAATGTGTGCAGCATGGGAAGAATTGCAAACCTTTGCTGAAACGACTCGCCCACATCAAGCTGCAGTAGGTCGTTGCCTTAGCCTATTCAATGACACTGATGCATCATTGCAGACAAATGTTAAAACGAAGGGAAAACAAATTTCTCTTGACAAATTTGTAGTGAGACAAATAAGCACTGAACCACAACCAGGTCCTAGTGGCATTCAGGCAAAACGTAGGAGAGAGTGTACCCCAGAGAAAATATCACTGCCTGATGTGATAATGGAAGGGGACTCCCCTTCCAAACAGTAACAACTCTCCTCCTCTACTCTCATCACCATCTTCCATACGTCATCAAGAGCCCTCCATAAAGGTAAGATAAACACATGTACTGTATTGTAGTTAGAAAAAACTTTGTATTCAGTATAAAATGTATTTGTATGTTAATATTTTGTAGGGTGGGGAACGGATTAATTCAATTCCCTTTATTTCTCATGGGAAAAATCGCTTCGACTTACAATATTTCGACTCACGATCCGTCTTTGGGAACGAATTAGCATCGTAAGTCGAGGCCCCATTGTACTGAAGTAAGCAGCTATAAAAGTCATACATAACATACAAGGCAGCATGTATATCAAAATACAAAACTAAAATCTGACATGATAAGAGGATAAGCAAGAAAAACAACAAATTACTGTAGAAGTGCAATACTGGGAGAGATAAGTTATATGCAAGCTATAGTAACGTAACAAAAAAATTAGGATATGGAATAACAATGAAAAAGTCACACCACCAAAATGATTTTATTAATATACACCACAGAAATATACACCACAGAAAAAAATAATCTTACTAACCTGCATTGTGTACAGAAGTTGTAGGAGGCGAGATGAAAAGGCATACTGCTCAACTTGATGAGATTTGAGAACAGTGTTACGATCGATAACGTCTGGCACAGGATACTTGTCTCGTATACCACCCACAACAATGTCAGCTTTCCATATCATCCTTGCTACCAACAGCAACACAAGCACAGCATCATGGTCACCTAAAAGAAGTACAGTATTAACATAGACATCAATTCATAATTCGACCGTCAGTAGTTTCAAAACATTATATGACAGAGTGCTAGCAAGACGGGACACCATGAGCGTAGCTCTCATCCTGTAACTACACTTAGGTAATTACAAAAGATAATAGTACAAAATTCTGCTAGACAAGTCTACCAGGAACAATGTATAATGCAATGATTCTAAAATAAATATAGTGAAAATCCAGACCCAATATGTTGCAAGGCATTCTGTATTACACCTTAGCTATTTTTCCCAACATAAATGATATTAGCAAATATAGTTTTTTGCACCAATAATTGTATTTCTGAGTTAAACCACTCATAGGCTCCGAAAAGCACAATTACTGAATGACTTATAGGGCAGGATTCTGAACCTGTCCAGTGAGGATATTTTCAAACATCCTTCCTGTGTCATAGTGATGCAACAAAGGACTGGACAAAGGAGCAATCCTGCTCAGCATGACAACACTAAGTTCACTTATACTTTAAACACTTGAAGCCTTTCCAAGCCCTACTTAGCATCACAAGGACCCCAAGTAATTCTTCAACTCTTCTCAAATCATTAGTTTCCCACATACCTTCTACACCTGCCAATTATGAAAGTAGTGTAGTTTTCTGTGAAAAATGTGATGGGAAAAGATATGGGGCAAGAGATATAAGGTGGGTGGTGATCTAGGGAGAAGACACGAGAAAGAAAAGTGACAGAAAAAGAGCACGACTATCATGGGCATAATGAGTCTATTCAAACAGCCATACCGTAATGGTAATTCTCTAATTGCCTCTAGTAATTTACAGCATTCTGGTATCAAAAGGGATGAATCTATGCCCTACCACAACTACTATAGTTATTCCAGAGACAGACTGCCCAGCAGTTTCCAAAATATCCTTTCTGGGGGGGAGGCCCTACGGCTTCCCGGAGCTTACTAGGCCGATATGCTAATGTCAGACTTTGGCATCAGTCATGTGTATGGAGTTCTTATGGTCCTACCGGGGACCACGAGCCAGAACCTGGCCCCCTTTGGAGAGGGTAGAGGAGCGATGGCCTATAGAAGCCTCCGTGTAATTGGAAGCATTCTATGTTTGCCATCGACCGGATTAGGCACCCAGAAAGGTAGGCATCCCAAAACAAACCCCTATTCTGGTGAAAATTGTAACTAAAAGCAGAACGAGTGGATAGAACTCCCCAAACAAAAACGAGCAAACTAGTATATGTCACCCGTCGTCGTGCCGCTATCTGCGCAGCTCCTCCCTCCACGGGATGGGGGAAGAGTAGCCCCAGACCTACCGCGCCGGCGATCCACACCCCAGTTCTTGAGGCTGATGTTACTGGCTCGGTTGTGTGCTCTTGCTCCAGACTTTGTGGCGCTGTACCTTGTGTGTGGCTGCTGTTTTCCAAGAGTGCGAGAGCCAGGAGTTATTCCTCAGTACTCAGGCTGCATGCACCTAGGGTTCCCTTCCCTAGGTGCCTTGTAAGTACTGCCCTAGGAGCTTGGAGTTACCTTCCACAAGTTCCTCGGGATCTGCCTCTGTGTGTCCGTTTTACTGCTCGGTTTTTCAGCCGCCCTTTGAGAACTTGGGTGTTTTGTCTCCCTAGTTTACCTTAGGGTAATAGGCAGTTTTCGCAGGTAAAGGGCGCAGGGTGCTGCGCAGCTAGTTGTCACCTATCACAGCGGCTGGCTCTGTTCCTTGGGGTACGTTGTCCTCTTGCGGGGTTTTGTTTTTCTTTTTGTTTTTTCCTTGTTGGGGGGGTTCTGCCCTATTTGCCACTGGTGTTTGGCCTCACCCTGATACTTGGTGGTGCCTCCTGCTTGGTCCCCACAAGTGTACACGTTCCTGGGCTTCAGCTTTAGACAGTTTGTTTGGTAGTTTCGGGCGCCGGTTAGCAGTACTCTGCCTGGGTTTACCTGAGCGCAAGTACTCTTCAAGTAAACGTTCAGGGGCCAGATTCACGAAGCAGTTACGCAAGTACTTACGAGCATGTACATCTTTCCTCAATCTTTGGCGGCTTTGGTTACATTTATTAAACAGTTTACATGTATGAAAACTTCCCAATCAACTGTTGTTATTATTATAAACAGCCTCCTGGTGCTTTGGAGCTCATTAACTGTTTAGTAAATGTAAACAAAGGCACCAAAGATTGAGAAAAGATGTACAGGTTCATAAGTGCTTGCGTAACTGCTTTGTGAATCTGGCTCCAGGACCCTGGGAATTCCCTAGGGAACGCGTGGGTCCGATGGATGTGACCCCGGGGTCCCCCTAGCTTCGTGAGAGTTTGAGGGTTGTTTGGTCCCCTTGTCTCAGGGCGACCCTCACTGAGCGGGGCTTACTGTTACAAGGAGTGGGGTTTTCTTCCCCCCCCCCCCCCCCCCCCCCCCCCCCCCCCAGTGCGTACAAGTTGGACTTGGTGTCTGCCTCTCCCTTGGTTCGGTTCCGTGTTCCCCGGGCGCTTCGGTTTCGTCTTTCCGGAGGTTTTCAGCTTATCACATCCAACCTGCTGCGGTGCGGGCGGCCCTTGCGGCAAACTTTCTGTGTGACCCGGATTATGCCTCGGCAATGGATACCTCGACTTTCAGGTTTGGGACTGCGTTCCCTTTCTGGCTCCGTTATGAGGTTCCGGAGTCGTCCTGGCTGGCGGACTGTCATGTCTTTACCTTGGAGGCTTGGCACTCCTGCCGTTCCTGCACGCTTGAGTGGCGGGAGGCTTTGACGGTGCTTTAGGTTTTCCTGGGGGGCGACCTTGAGCACCTCAATGAGTGCTTGTTTGCTCCTGCCCTTGCCCGGGATGTTGGTGTCGTTCGGCTATATGTGCAGATTCCTCTCTTTCCGCAGTGCAGGTGGCGGAGGACTTGCACGTTTGGGGCCTTTTGGTTGTGGCCTTGCGCTTCATTTCCCTCCTGGAGCTGTCTTCCGACTGGCTCATGGAGGATGTGGGGGCACTTGGGGCTGTTCCTAGGTCTGGCGCCTCGGCCTCAGCGGCTTGCTCATCGGCTGCCTTGCTGAAGCTTTTAGCGCCAATCTTAAGGGATGCGGTGGCTCTGTTTTATGCCTCCCGGCTCGCGTGTCGGCAGACGGTGCTTGCCTCCTCTATGGAATCCGCATGGGCCTTGGCTCTTAGGATGTCTTCTCCTTTTTGCCCTCTCTTGTTTGCGGCTTCCGCCGTTGCGCATTATATTCAGGCTGCTTCGGCTTCTTGCCGTCCTATGTCGGACTTGCTGGCTCTCCGGGGGTCCCATGTTGGACCTTCCCGGAAGGGTCGTGCCAAGACTCAGGGTTCCTCTCGTCACGGTAGGCCACCGGTGTCAGGTTCGGCTTCGGCACCTCCTTCGGACGCGCCTTCGTCTGGTCGGCACGGTGTTCTTTCTGTGCGAGGTTCTGGGTCTCGTAATGGGCATCGGCCCTTTGTGTGGTTCGCCCCATTAAAAGATCGATGGGGGAGAGGCTTGCGCTGTTCGCTCACGCCTAGTCTCACGATTTGTGGGCGTTTCAGGTCGTTTCGCACGGCCTCCGGTGGCGTTGGGTGGCCCCTTCCCCTGCGAGGGGCGAGGGGCTGGCGGGGCAGGCTTCTTCCCTTGCGCTGTCAGGTCATCTTGGAGTGGGTTCGCTTGGGTGTAGTCGAAACGATGTCCCTCAGATGGGTTTCTTGTCTGTTTCCAGTCCCGAAACGGGACTGCGCAGACCTGCATTTCATTTTGGACTTGTCCCATCTGAACCCTTGGGTTCATTGCCCCTCTTTTCGGATGACCACGCTATCCCAGGTTCGGCTCCTGTTGAAGCAGGGCACTTGGATGGTGTCCCTGGAAGTCCAGGACACTTAGTGGCACGTCCCGATTCATCCAGGGTTCAAGGACTGGCTCAGTTTTGTTGTGGGGGGCTTCATACTTCCGCTTCCGCATACTGCTTTCGTTGTCCCCCATTCGGGTTGAACCTGGCACCTCGCATTTTCATGCACCACACGCGGGTCGTGGTGATCCGTCTGCATCTGTTAGGTGTTTGGGTGTTGCCCTACCTCGACAACTGGCTGGTTTGGGCTCCAAGCCAGTCCACTTGTCTGCTGGCCAGGGATCTGGTTCTTTCTCAGCTAGCCGAGTTCGGGTTCTTGGTGAACTGGAGGAAGTCCCATCTGCTTCCCTCCCAGATTCGGACCTGGCTGGGCCTTGTATGTGACTCTCGGACCGCTTCCTTGTCTCTTCCTCCGGAGTCTCTTCTGCAGCTGCGGTCCCGCGTGTGCCTGTTTCTGGGGGCTCCCGGGTCACCTGGCGGATACTCGAGGGTCTGTGTGGGAGCCTAAACTTTGTGATGCTGAGATATCTGCCGGGTCAGGTTTGGCTTCATCGGCTGTTCTGGTTCCTTCGGGGTAGTCCCTTCCGCCTCTCTCGCGATCGCTGGGTTCGGACCCCGGGGGCTTTGTGTCATTTGCTGCGTTGCCAGCTTCCTCTTCGGATTTTTCGGGGTTCAGTGCCTTGGCGCCTCCCCGAGCCCTTGCTCGATGTGTCCACAGATGCGTAGACTCTCGACTGGGGCTTTGTGACCAGTGCTCACCAGAACAGCCAGGGATAGTGGGGTCCGTCCTTCCGTCGAGCCCACAGCACTGTGTGGGAGTTCGCACCGGTGTGGTTTGCTCTTCGGAGGATTCGAGTCGCCCGCGGGTCGATGATCCGGATCCATTCGGACTGCTCCCCGGTGGTCCATTGTCTGAATCTGGTGGGTTCGATGTGGTCCTTGGCTCTTTGGCGCTGGCCGCTTTGGGTGACTCATCTGCTGAGTTCTCGGGGTTTGGCTCTCCTGGCAGTTCACGTACGGGGAGTGTCCAACATCTTGGCCGACGGCCTGTCTCATTTCGTTCCCCTCTCCACGGAATGGGCGGTTGACGCCGACTTTTTCAGTTGGCTTTGCCAGACGTTCGGACGCCCCGAGGTGGACCTCTTCGCATAGCTTTCCTCTGTATATGGCGCCCTTTCCTGACTGCAAGGCCGTTG